TGAAAGCAAAGTTAAAATAAAGCTGTTAAAAAGAGAGGTAGGAAGCACTCGCAAGCCACCAAGTATCCACAATCGCTCTTTACATCTCCATGCTAATTGGCAGAGTCAGGTCCTGACGACCTTCCGGAAGGCCAAAAGAGTGGAGCCCGTCCCTGGGGTAAGATGATTCAAAGGGCGGGGGCATCGGCAGAGAAAATTCTCCCTGGATCCCAACAGTCGGAATTCTTTAACCAACGTAGCTTTTCTGCCTGACCGGTTGGGATGGATCGATGTAGTAGAGTCGAGATGGTTCATTTCGAACATCAGTTACAGTGGTGATGAGCGCATTGGGTTGGGAGACTTAAAAAACCAGATTAAGGATAGATCATGAACAAAATCCATTGGTTGCTAGGGGTCAAAGACGACTAGTTGGCATCAGTCAATTTCCAAGATTGAGACAGTCCCTTGTTTTGGCTGCGAATTATGAAAAGTTGTAGCTCAATATCTCTGATGGCGTCGTAGCTGGCGGAAGCTGGGCTAGGGTGCCACAAAGATGCGCTTGTCTCGAGGGAGATGCTGGGTCGGCGGAGAAAATCCTAATCCATTTTACAGTGAGGATAAGGGGAGAAAAACGGAGAGAACTTTTGTCCTGCGCTTGAAATAGACTTCATCAATTTCAGGTCGGGAAAGCTTATCTTGGTTACAATAGAATCAGATTCAGTTCCCCAACCTCAGGAATCGAAGTGGGAGACTCCCTAAGTGGATCCTGTTTCTCCTTAAGTGAAGTTTGGCCCCTGGAGAACTGTACAGAAGTGGCGTTGCCAGGTTGTTTCTATTACAGATATTGCATAAATACGCTTGCACTAGTCTTTTGTAAGCTGTGTGAGATATCCACCTCAGTCACTCGATTTTACAAATTCTCATCCCACCCTTTTTTTAAAAAAAAAAACACAACCTTGGAGTAAGTGGATATGTGTGAGAAGTAGATGGGAAGCCTTCACCCCAGTCCTGACCCTCCATCAGTTGAGGCTTGCAGATCAGAGCAACTGACAGAACACCCCACCAAGGACATTGACAAGGGTAGGCCACTGGTGTATAAACAGAGACCAACCCCTTCCCCCTCCCTCCTAGCACTGATGGTGTTACCTAGTTGGGTAATGAAACATCTGCAAGGAAAAAAAACCAAAGCTCAAAGGACCCCCACGCTTTTCCTTTTTTGATTGCATTTTTTTCATCCTTAATTTGCTTTGACTCAAAGGAGAAATTTCTTGACAGTTAGAACAATCAATCAGTGGAACAACCTGCCTCCAGAAGTTGTGAATGCTCCAACACAGGAAGTTTTAAAGAAGAGGCTGGACAACCATTTGTCTGAAATGGTATAGGCTTTCCTGCCTGAGCAGGGGATTGGACTAGATGACCTCCAAGGTCCCTTACAGCTCTATTATTATTATTATTATTATTATTATTATTATTATTATTATTATTATTATTATTATTATTATTATATTATTATTATTATTATTATTATTATTATTATTATTACCAACAAGATTCTGTGTAGAGATCAAACAGTAATATGAGTGAAAGCGGTTTTAAGTATTTGCCTCTTTGCTATGTTTTAACTTGCTGCTGCTTTTAACTCTGGGTCCAGCACCAAAGTAGAGAGGAAAGTTTAAAAATTTAACTGAAGTGAGGCAAAATTAATGGAAGATGCCTTTTTTTTTTACTTTACATGTTAACAAGATGTATTGTACTATTAAATCATAGATTACCCCATGTTTGAATTACTTCTCAGACATTTAAAAACAAGCCTACAGTCTGAAATTTTGGCCTGCCCTTCATTTTTTTCAGTGTAAAATCTTCTATATAAATAAAAATGTAAATGTTCGTTTGTTCAAAATCTTAAATCTCCAAAAGTTCTTTACCGATTGCTTTGAAATTTTGACACAACGTTGCATTCGAATACGCGCTTGTTTTTATATACCTATATTATATAGATGTCACATCTGTGACAGGTAAAAACATGCTTTTTTAAAAAACAGCACCATCTGTTGGACGCTTTGAAATTGCCATTGAACATGCAATTCATTGAAACTCCCATGTGCAACATTTCCAAAGCATCCGGCATGAGAAAAGTATTGCAGAAATGCAAACTTATTGTTTGGGATGAATGCACAATGCACATTGAGACTGAGCCACAGCAACGTGTGGCCGGGTACAGCTAGTATGAAATATAAAGTTCTGTGAATCAATAGATATCTATATTGGATTTGACAGGATGTTACCAGAGTAATAAAATGTATGCTACAGCACTCTTGAACTCATTGGGAATTAATTCCAAGTAAACATGCATAGGATTAAGTTGCAAGTAAGATTCTTTTCAATAGGCTGCATGGTATGATTTTTTTCTGTTCTAGAACATTTTAATTTCTGTGGGAGACTTTTCCATGTTGCCATGTTCACATAAATCTAAATTCATATGCTAATCATGTTGCAAGTCAACAACAGCTTCTATAATCTTGAGTGTCTTATATTTATGGACAATACTCTTCTATTCTTCCAAAATAGGGTGTTTTTTGTGTTCTAAACCAGTGGAAATGCAGTCTTTCCTCTATTTGGGAACCACATCGGCTCTTTTCCAGTCCTCTGGTAGTTCCCCAGTTCCAGGATCACTGTTTGAATCCATGTTTGGATGCAGGAATTAGTTAACAAAGCAGGGAGATTCTTCTAAACCAGTGGTTCTCAACCTTTTTAATGCCGCGACCCCAACTGGTCGTAAGTCGAAGACTAAACCGGTCGTAAGTCGAGGACTAAACCGGTCGTAAGTCGAGGACTACCCAACCGGTCGTAAGTCGAGGACTTTCCCTGCCCGGGAGCGCCGTGCGTGCGTGGCTCCGCCCCCTGCACCGGCCGAGGCGTAGCTGGCAAGCGGCAGAGACGGAGCAGGCCGACCACCAGCTGGCCCAGCCCAAGGGAGGTAAGGCACCCGCCGGAAAAGGGGGGGAAAAATGGCGGACAGCCTTGCTTGGCGACCCCCATGAAATGGTCGATCGACCCCAAATGGGGTCCTGACCCACAGGTTGAGAACCACTGTTCTAAACCTTAAATCTGTATCTAAGATCTTTTGACAAGATCCTCTGCTTGTGAGGAAAGTACCCATGTATCGTTACACAAAAAACAATGCAATTCTTCAAAGACTTAGTGCTGCTTCATGGTGATCCTGAGGTTTTCTGTGCACACTATCCACTGGGATAATTAGTGAAGTAGCTCTTTTGGCCAATATCTTAAAACAGAGGTCCCCAACCTTTTGGGCACCAGGGACCAGTTATGTGGAGAGAGGTTTTTCCGTGGACCAGAGAGTGCATGGTTTTGTGTGCCTCCTGCATCTCGCAGATTTGCTTGTTTGTGTAGACCTGTTGCTGGCCTGCTGCGGCCCGGTACAAGTCCACGGACTGGGGGTTGGGGACCCCTGTCTGAAAGAGTATTGTTCTTTGTGCAGACATACATGCTGATCTTTTCAATGGCTAAGACTGCTTTGCAGCGTGGTGTTAGAAAAATAGGCATAGGCCTTGTATGGAATGTCTGTTGCCGCAAAGTTCCAACTACAAACAGCCAAGGAAACCAGGAAAGCAATTGTTGGTCAACTGAAGGAGTTAAATCCCTTCCAGGCACGCGCTTCAGGCTGTTGTATATTCTAGAAGCAACTCCGATGGGTGTGTAAGGGTTAAGCAAACTTGTCACTTTTCAGAACTTTAATATTTTTTAATGAAACATTTTGTATAAATTATAAAAGATAAGGAAGTTAAGAATGTAACACAGGCATATTGTTTTTACCCATTTATAGAACCAACTTTTACAGCAGCCTTTTTTAACAGAGGAGGGACCACTCTGGAGGTTAGGCCGATTTTCATCTGGTTAAGAGATTACAGATTACAGAACAACTATCTCTGCTACATTAGGAAATACTGCTTTATTAGAAGTAAAATGGAGCTGAAAAGCCTGACTTTTGTAGTATTACATTAGATGACTGCATTTTACTCTTATATTTTTACCTGATTTTAAATTATGGATATTTTTTACTATAACATGGTGGTGCATTAGCTCAGCAGAGATTGCCACTGACAGCATTTATCTGCATGTGGACCTCCAGTTTTTTTTCTGTAGTATATATAAAATTTTATGATTCAACCAATTTCAACAAGGATGATGTCATCTGAAAGCTATAGTTTGCAATACTTGTATGTTTTGATTTTAGAAATCCCTGACAGAGTTTTACATAGCATTGAGGTAAAAATCCATCTAAAAGTGGGCTGCATTAGCTTTTCAGTGAGGTACTAGATGATAAAAAACAGATCTACAGGCAATCTTTGGCAAATGACCATTCATTCATGACTGTTTGAAGTTATAATGGTGGTATGACCAGTTGTCAGAATTCCAGACATCCCAGGATTCCTGCTGTTATGTGACCATAATTTGGGCACTTGGCAACAGGTTTGCACTTACGATTAGTTGCAATCCATTTACAATCTTCCCTGCCGGCTTCCCCAGAAAGTGAGTGGGGAAGCCAGCAGGGAAGGTCACAAGTCACTTGGGTAAGCCTCTCCTACCTATGCACCCCCCTGTGCTTGTGTTAGCTGCTTGTGCATACCTGTGAATCCTTCCCAATTTTCCCCATGCCTCCCCTCACATCTAACACAACACACATGCCTCTTTTACACCTCACCTGATATACACACTCACCCCCCCCCCCCAGCAGCAGCCACTTACCTGCCTGCCTGGGACTTGCAACTTCCTACTGGCTTTTCCACTGACTTTTGTTGTGGGAAGTGGGCAGGAAGTTGCCTCACTTAATGACCGTGGGATTTAGTTAACAATAGTAACTGGGACTGCAGGGATTGCTAGGCGATGCTACCACACTTTATAACTGCATTGCTTAGCAATGAAAATTCTGGTTCCAACGGCCATTGTAAGTCGAGGATTACCTGAACTTCTTAAAAACCATATAGTCTCCAGTCAAAACTGCCTGATATTTGCTTGTAATGTCATGTCAAATAAAGCATAAATGTGTATGTTACTGCAGTATTCAGTAATATAAACCCCTATTGTTTCCTGTTTGACATATGTGTATCCACTGATTACACTCCCATGTTATGCAAAACCAAATATTTATTTTATGTTGTGCTCAGCTGTTGGAACCTGAATGGCTTATTAACACTTTTATCACTTCTTCTTCAGCAAGAAAAGCCTGTTTGACTGTGTCTGTAAATGGCTGGTTTGTGCACAAATCTAGTAACAGTCAAGAGGTCTACAATTATCTGACCACAGGAAACTGCCCTGTGACAATGCACTGTGTCTTCAAAACTTCAGAAATCCATCTGCATGTCTTTAAGAAAAAAAGGAAAGATAATTTTAAACACAATTAAGACATATCGTGAAGATACTTAATATGTTATACAACAAATTATATCAACCACCTCCAAACTGCAGAGGTGTTAACTACAATTTCTTTTCTGCATGGGTGTACAAGTGGTTACTGTTAGGAGTTGTACTCCAGCATGTCTGGAAAGGCTGTTGCAGATACAGGTAGTCCTCGACTTACAACCAAAATTGAGCCCAAAATTTCTGTTGTTAAGTGAGTTTTGACCCATTTTATGACCTTTCTTGCCTCAGTTGTTAAGTAAATCACTGCAACTGATAATTTATTAACCTAGTTGTTAAGTGAATCTGGCTTCCCCATTGACTTTGCTTGTCAGGAGATTGCAAAAGGTGATCACCTGACCTCGGGACACTGCAGCCGTCATAAATATGAGTCAGTTGCCAAGCGTCTGAATTTTGATTACGTGATCATGGGGATGCTGCAAAGATCGTAACTGTGAAAAAAGGTCATAGGTCATTTTTTTCAGTGCTGTTGTAACTTTGAACGGTCACTAAATGAACTGTTGTAAGTCAAGGACTACCTGTAGCTAATGTTGAAGGTAGTGGAGAGGGGGAGGTATATTCTGCAAAAGTTTTCTTCTTTAAATTTGAAAACACAAATGATTTGGAGATATCTACAATTTCCTCACAATAGGCAATAAGTGGCAATCAGAGTGTATTTAGGTGTAAGTACTTGTCACGTGAAGCCAAAATTACTGTGCAATACTTTGGATTAAATTCCAAAGAAATGTGCTAGTTTGGTACAGGATTGCAAATATAGCACCTGTTTGCAACTCTTTAAAACAGACCCACCCTTTCCTGGAATTGTACAGCTGTCCTCTTTTGATGATTTATTTAACTATCCAAATGTTCTGAGCTCACATGATAACACTGAATCATAAACTGATCATATAATTTATGCAACCCACACAGCCACAGAATTGACTTTTGTGATTCAATGTCATGCATCCACAAGCTAAGAGTTTCTATCCCAAGTAACTTCAAATCGACATCCTTGGTCTATAATACATAATACAACATAGCCTGATATTGCTACCGAGCTACCCAGCTCACAGCCTGAAGTAAGTCCTAGGTTGCTTAACTGTTTCATTAAAGAAGCCAGTTGCCTGATTCTCACATCCTACCATTTACGAAGCACAATGCCGAATTCAAAAAAGCTACTTCACATTTAATATAATGGATGAGTTTAACTTATCTCTCTGTTAGCAATAGCCAAGGACAAAGAGAAAAAACACTTTATTTTTTGTATCAATTTACGTTGCTGCCCATGTCACCATCATGACTGGTGTCACTGAAACAATTGGGAGTGGGGGATGGGTGGGGGTTGGAGTTGGCATCCTTCTGAAACAAGCCCTTACCGCTATCTTTCAAACGTTGTCCTTTGTAAGATTTCTCCATTTCTTCCAAGAATTGTTCAAAGACTTTCACATATGGAGCTAAACTGGTTTTCTTATAATCTGTTAAAAAAGGGAGGAGAAAAAAAACTCATTTTATTTTCAAATTTTAAACTCACAACTTTTTAAGCAGACACAAGGAATTAAGTTTGGCTCTCAACTGTCCATTTGCTCCAATCATTACAAAAAAAAAATTAACTTCACTTCCAGGTCAGATCCTTTATGCATTCCTGATTTGACCCCAAGGACATGCCAGATTTAATTCTGATTATGTTGTATTTTTTTATTTGTAAACATTTTAGAAAACTGATCTGTTACATCTCAGTAAACCATTTGTCTTGCTATGCTGCTTATTACTATTATTTATTTTTACAACAAATGGGGTAGCCTTCATCAAATGTCTACCCTTCACACAACTTCCCAAAAAAGCAAAACTCTCATAAAAGATGTTCCAAAGGTGCTTTTCCAAAAGGCAACTGGACTTTGTTTTTTTCTTTAAAAAAATGCTGACTTTGGTAATGCATATATTAAAATTGGGACTTCCGGTTTTGACGTTGCGGCGATGCAGGCGCAGGAAGACAGGGCTCTGTCTTTCACGTTTGGTTTTGCCCTGCTGGGGGCCCCTGGAAAGGGTCGAAAGTCGCCCTGTAGAGGCAGCACGCAAGGACGGGACTCTCACTGATCGCAGGGGGGGGGCGACAGCCCTTCCGTTTGATCCGAGGAAGCCCTTCAAATCAGGGGAAAGACTGGCGGCATTTGTGTAGCCAGTCCGAAGCTGCTGACAACGGAAGTCAACAAGCACTACCAAGCAACTTTACAGCAACGTGGATGAAACTGGGTGAGACCTGATACTTTATGATTTTAAGACCTCTTCCTGAATATCTGCCCAAAGCACTCCCCCCGATGAAAGAGGGAAAGGGAATTTCCACCCCATTCCCTCAGAAAAAAAAGCGGCAAATTAATTACTTGGGGAAAAGGGCGAAACCCATAAGACCTATTTGGAATTAATATATACATACAGCTTAAAAATTTGGGGACTAAGAGCATTTAACAGAGTTGGCTAATTATTTATCCTCATCTATGACAGCACTTACCTCGGCTTTTACGAGAGCTTTCCAGCAGACCTTCAGTTTCCTTTCCGTTTCCTTCATCTTTTCCAATCATGTCCAGCTCATGACAGAGTTGGCTAACAAATAGAACAAAAACACTGGAAATCCCACAGAATTTGGCCAACCTATATTGATCATGATCATTTCACTCTGAGCTTGTATCCAGTAAATTTACAATTTATGCAGTGGAATTGATCAATCCACTCCTGATTTATGTTTGAAGAGACTGATTGGGTACACCTGTCACATTAAATGATACTATGCATTTTCTTTTGCTTGAGCCACTGAGTGAATGTAGGCACTATGATGTTTAATCCAACCAATTGTTGATTATGCAACAAAGTGGATAAATAAATAAAATAATAATAATAATAATAATAATAATAATAATAATAATAATAATAATAATAATAATAATAATAATAATAATAATAATAATAAAGCAGCTTAATGTGTTGAGTGAACTTAGGCACTATATCATTCCTAAACTATTTACATGCAAGTTTGTCATAGATCCCAAAGAGATGAGCCATACCTTATAGTGGGGACAACAAATGGATCAAAGTCATCCAATTTCTTCAGGTCAATTGGAACTGAAATGCGTCCTGAAAGAAGTCAAAAGCAACAGCTTCTTATTCTCCAACCTTTCGGCTTTGTGGACTGTGGGGGGGGGAAGGGAGGGGATGGTTCCGTGCGAGCGGTGAGTAAGCACGCACATGCACAGCTCAATTTGCATGAGGGATGGTGGGCACACACGTAAGCCGCTCGCATAAATGGAGTCCGCATGTAATTGCATAAGTGGGGATGAGCACCCATGTACATGTGCTCGCCCGCCACTTGCGCGGCCTGGTTCCAAAGGGCTCAAGGCCCAGTAATGGACTGCAGCCCAGGGGCTGGGGACCCCTGCTTTAAAGACTACTAGTGGGAAGAAAAAAAAGCATGCAGCGAGGGATTGTATTTCTGAACAGTTCCATGAACTGGCTAAATGTCCACATGGAAACTTCTCCAGACCTTTGAAAGGTCTTAACACAGGTAGTCTTCAACTTACAACAGTTCATTTAGTGACTGTTCAAAGTTAGAACATCACTGAAAAAGTGACTTATGATTATTTTTCACACTTACAACTATTGCAGCATTCTCATGGTCCCGTGATCAAAATTCAGACTTTTGGCAATTGACTCATATTTATGACAGTTGCAGTATCCTGGGGTCATGTAATCATCTTTTGTGACCTTCTGATAAGCAAAGTCAATGGAGGAGCCAGATTCTAATTACTAACTTAACTTTGCACTTTGATATAGCCCATGGTCTAATAAATAAAGATTTATTATAACTTAACAACTGCCATGATTCACTTAACAACTGTGGCAAGAAAGGTTGTAAAATGGGGCAAACTCACTTAACAAATGTCTCACCTAGAAACATAAATTTGGGGTGAATTATGGTCGTAAGTTGAGGACTACCTGTATTGTCTTATACTCAAAGCATACACTAAAGCACCATTCTGAGCATATTGGGAAACTCAAAACAGCAAGTTCAAGATTTAATCTCTTAACACAGAAGAGTCAAAACATGCTTATCGGTTGTTTGGCCCTTGGATCCTGATTGTTCTTCCTAAGATGACATACTAATATAGAACCTATTTAAGGATTATCAATTTAAAATATTGCTTTATATTGATTAAAACTCACAAACTCCACAAAGACCACATGTCCATTTCTATAGTTATCATTTTATCTCATGATTATATGCAGCACTCTTCCACACACCCCTCAGAAAACGACCTCTTTAGTCATCAAACATTTGATTTTAGCATTATTTCTTCTTCCAACTGAAAACACTAACAGGGAAATGTACATTTCAGAAGCAGCAGAAGGAATAACTGGTATGTTAGACAAAGCAGTATGTTGCTACTAATGATGCTTAAATCCTCCTTGTTCTCTATGCTCAATTTTGCATATGCAGCATTACCTTATTTTATCTTCCAAAAAGCCTGAAAATAAGCCAAGCTGAGAGATAGCAAGTGGCTGAGTATCAAACAGTGATCTCCATGGTTGAAATGAATTCCGTGTTTCCACCTTCAGCTTCAACATTCCCTGCCATGTTAGGCCCTTGTCGGATTTCCATCAAAAGGAAATACGCAAGAGCATTGTTCAGCAACTGACCTGTCTTTGGGTGAACGCTGAAAGGGCTCTTCAGCAAATGATTGATGCCTTTGCTAACGTTCATATCCAGGCGGGGAAAACAGTATTGCAGCATAATCTCCCTTTCAGCGTGTACCATTTTCTTCAGAATGAGAAAGAGAAAAAGATTAATGCAAAAGAAGCTGGCCTAAGTCAAGACAATGCCCAGGTCTAGCTAACTCAGTATAGGTAGTCCTTGAATTACAACAGTTAATTTATGATCTTTCGAAGTTACCACAGCACTGTAAGAAGTGACTTATGGCCATTTTTCACATTAATGAACATTGCAGCATTCCCACGGTCACACGATTTACATTTGGATGCTCGACAACTGGGTCATACTTATGACGGCTGCAGTGTCCCAGGGTCACGTGATCATCTTTTGCGACCTTCTGACAAGCAAAGTCAATGGGGAAGCCAGCCTCACTTAACAACAGTGTTACTAATTTAACAACTGCAGTGATTCATTTAACTAATGTGGCAAGAAAAGTCGTAAAATGGGGCAAAACTCACTTAACAAATTTCTCACTTAGCAATATAAATTCTGGGCTCAATTGTAGTCATAAGTCGAGGACTACCTGTACTGCCCAGGCAAACCAGCTTCCTGCCTTTCTAGGATTTCAAGTCTGTCTTTCTCCTTCTTGTTTGGAGACCTTGGAGGCTGAACTTTAGGTGTTTTGCATACAAAGCACTTCTTGTACTAAGACATATCATCATCATTTTATATATTTACACATTATCAACCACCAAATTTATATGCTGCCTGACTTCCTATAACTCTTCTCCAATCCGTGTAGCTTTTTTGTAATTCAGCAGCCAAAAGGCTTTCAGAATAACTGTAGCTCCTTCTTCAGATGCCCAATTTTCAATAAGCTATAAATAAAGCCTTTTCTGGTGGAAGAAAGAATAGGGAGAATCAGCATACTAAAAATAGAAAGTGTAGTTTTATTCTGGATATGTCAACTTTCTGTCTTAATGACTCTCATTTTATCTCCACTTATTGATTTTCACAGGCCCGTGTTCTCAATATCCAGGGCAACTTCAAAAGGCAGAAGCATCAAGGTTTAATAGCAAAGCATTCCCCCGTCTTGAGTTATTGACCTTTTCAGCACTATAATTTAAAATGGGAGTCTCACCCATTAGCAAAGTTCTATCCCCAGTGTTAATTTTGCATATACTATTTATTTCACCTTTTTTTCCAGAACTTCCCAGCGTTGCTCTGAATTATGCTTTTTACGGAATTCGGCACGAAGATAATCTTGATCTGGTGGCAGAATTGCTAAGGACTTTCAAGGTTAGGCTCTGAAGCAAAATAGCCAACTTTCTGTACCCTCTCCAAGGGGAATAGCTTTGCCTTCTTTCAAAAAGACTTGCATGTCAATCTTCTATTCCTGGTATACAGTAGGTCAGATGGACCCACTGACCAAATCAGTTCTTTCCAATTCAGTGTATCTCAACCTTGGCAACTTTAATATGTGTGGATTTCAACTCCCAGAATTGTCAACATTGAGAAACTCTGTTCCAATGGTCAGTTATCAGGACAAAATGATGGATGTCAGCTGTCATTCAGATATTACCTCTGAATGCTCATCTCCAACATCCCCCTAGTGCAGGGGTAGGCAATCTTGGCTCTTTTATGACTGATGGACTTCAACTCCCAGAATTCCTGATCCAGCCATAGGCAGATCACCATTCTGTAAATGTGGAGACTATTTCTCCACTTTAAGATGACAGGCTGCTCACTGATAACTTGAGTGTTTGGCTAAACAAAAGTCATGCTTACCAGGTCTCATTATGCATTTAGATCTTCCTACTAATCTTCATGGGATTTCCTTGCAATTAAGTCTGCTTAGAACTGATGCATTAAATTATATACAAACCTTGCATGTGCACTACGGAAGAATAAGATGGGAAGAACAGACTTTTTTCCTGTGATGTATCTCCCATTTTGGAGAAACCCCCCTGGAAAAACTCTCTTCAGGAAGAAAATTAGACCAGTAGGGAAAGGATAGGTCTGATTATTCTTGACCCTTTCTATCTAAACATCCTGTTCTACTGCCACAAATAATTTGGGAAAAGGTATCTTAGGAGTTGATTCCTTTTAGGATATCAGTAGAGAACCATTAGTCCCCCTGTCATTGCCGAAATACAATTCCCAGCATTTCTCACCCCTAGTTATGGCAGCATGCAACTACTGGGAGTTGTAGTTGAACATCAGTAGTTTAACAGGTTTCCACCTTATTGCAAATAAGCCATCTATCCTGTTTTCAAACACTGATGGTTTCTTGCTATATACATCCTCCCTCCATCTTAATCTTCTCTGCTGCCTCTTAGAAATAATGTCACAACCAAAGACCAAGTACAACAGAGCATTGTCTATTAGGAGGGAGAAGAAGGCAGAGGGTGAAGGAAATGTCTAAGGAAGACGTTGTCAAAGAAGTTTACTTGCTTCTGCCTGAAAGATGCCTTGGCCAATTAATGGATTCTGTGTTGATAAGGGTTTTTTGCGGGAGTGGGAGTTTATTACATTCTGTTAGAAATAATTTTACTTCCTGGCTACTGCAACAATCCAGATGCTACTCTGTAGATATCTGGATTATGTTTTAAACCAGGGGTCTACAAACATGACCCTTTTATGACTTGTGGACTTCAACTCCCAGAATTCCTCAGCCAGCATGCCTGGCTGAGGAATTCTGGGAGTTGAAGTCCACAAGTCATAAAAGGGCCAAGTTTGAAGACCCCTGGTTTACACATTGTCTTGACTATTTATCAGTAGGCTGGCCATATAGTCATACAAAACTGCTTTTTGCCTATTTTTGTATAATCTCAAGTCCATCTTTGACAGTCCCCAAAGGATATTCTCTGGAACCAAAGCTAACACTTTTTCCCATTTTTCTTTATTTTCAAGTATGTCCTGACCAACGAGAGCATATTCTTTGAAGTAACGTGTCACTATATCCAATGATGCTCTGAAAAAGAAGCAAGGAAAGCATCAGAGAGACAAATGGTTCCTGAACGTTTAAGATTTTGTAAGAGAACATCAGACAGATGGTACTTTCTCATGCAGAGAAAAATAAAACAACTTCTGCTGAAGTTGCCTCATCAGCATTTAGTTTGCTCCTGCTTGAAACTGGAGGCTTTTTAGCATTTATAGTGGTGTGCAAAGTAACAAGTCCTAATTCTATATCAACCTCACTTTCAAGTATAAGGACAAAAAGGCTTGGAAAGGACAAAACTTTACTCTGCTAAGTTTTTCTTTTAGGGCCTGTGTGTATATGCAATAAAGTAATGTAAAAAGTGCCAAACAGTGTATATCATCTGAGCTAAGCACTTCTTTTAGGGCCTGTGTGTATATGCAATAAAGTAATGTAAAAAGTGCCAAACAGTGTATATCATCTGAGCTAAGCACTTCTTTTAGGGCCTGTGTGTATATGCAATAAAGTAATGTAAAAAGTGCCAAACAGTGTATATCATCTGAGAATCCAAAGTACACATCTAAGGGTTTCTAAGTCTAAGCTACTTTCTTCATGTCAGCATTGGGCGAATTAGAGGAAAGACTTTAATCAGCACATTAGTATCATTGCCTAGAGACCTTTATCCATCTGCTCATTCAAAACAGAGCTATCATCAGGATAGGGTTAAGTAAGTCACCCTTGGCAATAGCCAACAAGCTTATCTGTGGTTAAAAGCTTCAGACTCTATATACTATGTTTTGTCAATGCTGCTTCTAAAAGGCAGCTGAGTTGGAAACAGATCACTTCAGTAGGTGGTCTGTTCTTTAGCCACATCAAGAATTGCATCTATCCTGATTCATACCACCACAACAGAGTGTTCTGTTTATTTATATGTATTTATTTGATCTGATGCAACGCAAGTCTAAATAATGCTAAGTTTTTGCTTAGACCACACTTCCTTAAATCCTATGATTCTCAATTCAATTCAAAATTGTTTTAGCTTGGAGTGAGGCATCCATGGCCTCTCAGTATTGTTGAACAGTACCAGGTATTATTGCCCAAAATAAGAAAATTGCAATTCGGCAATATTTGGAAAGTT